TTTTATTCCAATTTTCCGGTCAAGTGCTAGTGAGCTCCGTGGATGTGCACGAACGCCGTCACCTTGTCGCTTTGGTTTTTGCGTTTTGGGCTTCACTTCCGCTGAGAAACCTCCAGGATCCTATGGGTTTTACCTGAACTGTTCAGGACTTGGGAACCCAGGTTGGCGTGTGGCAACCGCTTTCAAGTCGTACGCACTTCTATAAGTGTCCAACGTGCAAACCACGGATGTGAGCCACAATGGCATCACCAAATGCTGGCTAGCGAGTGGCAGGGAACCGTGGAGAGCGATACTGATACCCCAAGAGTATACCCGAAAATTGGCGACTTCGGCGCGATACCCGAAGAGATGCTGTCCGATACCTAGACAGATACCATATACTGTAGATAGGCAGCGCCCCAGATGCAAGAGCGCTTCTAGGTTTTTCATTTTGAGCCGTTTCACATCTTGTAAATGAAACACCACCTTAATCTGGACTTAGTGTGAGCTGTTTGACCAAGACATTATATAACTCCATGTAGCGATACGCAAGCCTGAGAAGCGACGCTCTAATTGAACATGACCATGCCCCATGTACCAGGTCGTGACGGTCGCACCTGCCTTTTTTGGGCTAAATATGTTGTTTCTTTGCGTAATTTGCCTGGAAGTTTTCGGGCTAGCGTTACAATATTATAGTCGTCCTGTCATAAGCCCCCATCATGACTGTGTCACTTGTTTAGGTTGCCAGCCGTCAGTTTTATGCCCTTTTTGAGGCAGCAGCTACGTGATTTGAGACTAGCGTCAAGCATACGCCGCCGCCGCTTGGAGGAAGCAGAAGCAGAGGCATTGCAAGAGCAAAAGGTGCAGGAGGCTGAACAGGACGGGGTTGAGAGTTTGGAGTGGACCCGAGAACAAGCCAGCTCCAGTATCGTTAAGGATTTGTTGTTTTGGTTTGTTTTGCTATTTACCGTGGACTGGACCCGGGTATTATTCCAAATGATGAAAACAATATCCTGTAAATATGCCTTAAGGGTTCACTGTGAGGGCTTGCACCCCACACTGCCCCCCAGAAAATCAACAGTAATTTGCCACTTGCGGATTTGCTACAACAATATGTGCACGAGTATGTATGTATGTATGTATGTATGTACGTAGGTATGTATGTATGTATGTATTGATACAGTATATTATATATGTTATGTTGTGTTGTGTTGCGTAATGTATTGTAATGCATTGTATTGTAATTAATGGTATGGTATTATGTATGTAATGTAATGCAATGCAATGCAATGCAATGGTATGTATGAATGTATTGTATGTATGTATGTATGTATGTATGTATGTATGTATGTATGTATGT